GCAAGCTGGCGCAAGGGCGGGCGCAAGGAAATCTAATGCTGGAGCACCGATATTTGAATTTAGAACAACATCCATATGGGACTGTACATGGAGGTTTTACAGGGGGATATACTAAGAGTTTACACTAGGTTCAGGTTATCCGGGTTTAGGTTTCGGGGTTTAGAACCTGGAGCATAGTTGTAACAGAGGTTCATGGCTTAAAGTTTAGGATTTGGGGTCCCTGAAATTACGCAAGTAACATAGGACCATCATAGTGGGACTGGGGCTGCCAGCCATGGATGATAAAGCGCTTAGTTGGTGAACTCCCTTGTTCAAATGAGAATAGGCTACTAATGTGATTCCCTGATGCTTCCTTGGTCAGCTTTTGATGCTTCACCGCCCAAATCTGTTTGCATAGACAATTGCAATTTCCGCCCCCAGACTTTGCTTCTTCCTTAGGGCTGTGATCGCTGCCTATTGTAGGACCTTCACATCGGGTTGCAAAGGGGTTTCATACAGAAGCCCAAAAAGGATGGCCTGTCCTGGGGTGGGGGGGTGGAATGGAGATAAAGATGAGGCTGCAGCGAAGAGTTGTGGTGATCGAAAACCGCATTGAGCAGGATAAGTGCTTTCGAATTGCAAGCGCCTATTTAGCACTGCTACCCCATTTGAACCGGCCGTGCCTTTGCGATGAAGTTAAAGCACGGCTCCAAAATCAAAGTCAAACTTTCAAATTGCAAGCCAGGACAGCCAAACCTCATCCCTTCCTCACTTCTGTACCCCACATTTCAACATCTACATCCAAACAAAAACAATGCACCGATGCACCCCAAACATCAAAGCTCAAAAGAGCAGGCCCTGCCGGATGGTTTAGATGAAGCAAGGGACCTCATGGAGCAGGAGTCCTGAGGGACCCCAAGGAAATACAGGGGCTTTGGGGACATTAGGCTGGTGCTGTTTGGTCATGAAATGGGAATAGTGATTTCTGTTTCAGTTTCTCTCTCCAGGATCATGGAAAGATGAGTGACGTTGTTCCTGAATTTCAGCTTCTGTAGGGCAGGTAACGACGTTCCTCCATAGGTCTGATGACACCTGCACTTAGATGGGATAGGTTCCTTTCTGCATGTCCGTGATGACAAGATGAAATGGGATACTGTATTTTAAGCCTTGTAGAGCCCTTTCCTGAGGATTGGCGCCTGTTCCAAATTCTGCTGGGAGGGTGGGGGCTTTTGCATCATGATTTAATGTGCCCTCGCAGCTCTGTTTTGATGTGCGACCCCAAGGCAGGTTCCATGCAAAGGTGCTTCAGCGGTGTGACGGATGCATCTGCTTTCCCCAGGGATCCAAATAGCCCAAAGTAGGTAGTCCTTACAAACTTTTGGGCCCAATGTAGGTATTATTTGTAAACTTGGTTCCTTAAGGTTTTGTTGCTGTCCCAGTGATGCAGCTAGTTTTGTTCGAGTCTTTCGGGTTCGAGGATGCTCGGCTATGCGTGCTGTTGCAGGCATTCACGCTGGAGGTAAGAAGCTACGTAAATTATGTCACATGAGCTATAGTCTAAACTCCTGAAAGGGGTTATATGAGGGATTATATAGGCGACTACAATAGGGGTTATTAAGGGGGATACTAGGACTTTAGAACAGGACTCCTATGGGGGTACTGTATATGGGGTTCCAGATTTAGGGGTAATGGAGAAGCGTCCCACTGGGCCTCGAGCTCCTTTTTTTTCATAATGGAAGGTTCCCAAGAACGCGGTTTAGGGTTTAGGGTTTAGGGAAGGTTCCCAAGATTTGGATCCCATTTCCGTACCCCTACATAGTACTTGCCCTAATATACTCTAGCCGAAAGTGGCTCATAATTACCTTAATGGTGTTGACAAGATACTTGGAGGTGAATGACAGGAATCCCCCCATCCATATACTCCAAAATTGGAACCCCCCAATATGAACCCATTACTACATTGGCGAAACTAGGGGATAATTAGGGGGTTCCATTTTTTGGGTCCTTTAGGGGTCTGAGATCCTGCTTCCAGGCCTAGAGGCAAATGAAAGTTTACAAGTCCAAACCCGAGTGCAATCCCTATTTGACACGCTAGCCACTAGCCTAGATGCGAATCCTGCTTCATGCCTACAAACCGAAATGCAAATCCGGTCCTATCTGATACCTAGAACTTGAACGCAAATCCTGTCTTAGATACCTCCTAAGATCTGCACCCTAAACCCTGCTCAAACATTGATGACATTCGTATGTTGGAGTACCACAACTTTCAAGGTATGAGGCAATTAGGTTCATGCAGGATTTTGGCATCAGCAATCCTAAGCCCTACACCCTTAAGTGCTGTCAACGCTAAGCCCCAACCCTGCATCAAGCCCCCGCCAGGAGAAGGCTGAAGAGCCACCCTTAGAGACGCCCAGCGCCGCAGAGGCTTGTAGGGAGGCGAAGTTTAATTGAATAGACCGGGCCATCGTGGAGATTTACTATCCTGTTTTGGAACTAAAGCCCGAACAGGAATGAAAGACTAGGCATTTTGTGGGGGGAGATTGATTGCTGGCTGGGGGTGATTAGGTTTGGGGTTTCGGGTTTGTGGAATTGGTGGGATGGTAGCTGATCTAGCTTTGTTACCAGTTTGCTTAGCTGCCGCTGATCCTTTTTGGCTGCATTCCAGGGTTTAGGGTTTGTAGGATTGAAGGGGCTTACAGGACCTGGGGTTAGAGTCAGAGTCTTTGTTGCTGGATATTTTGGCTCTATGAGCATTAAGCAACCCTTCTACACTGCTTGTAAACTGTTTGCTGACTGCTTGACCACTTATACTCATGCATAGCTGCGGAAGCTATCGTAGCCAAGAGCCGCAACCCGCAAGGTGGTTGCAAAAGCCGTACCTGCCATATAGGTTCTCGATGTACTGCAATACTGCCCATGACGGCCACTTTGTTGGGTAACTCAACACAAGACTGCTTTAAGCATCATTATCATATGCGCGGCCTTCAAAAAGAGGCGTCTTTTGGACAGCCACATGTGAGTAAAGTTGTTGATGGCACTACTATGGCATCCAATGCGGACTAAGATTGTACCTCCCAGGTATTCTATTTTTACGACGAATAGAATCTCCCCTGGTTCAACCACCCAAGAAGCATCACGCATCCGTGCGGCAGGGTGTCAGCAAGCTAAATACCACAGCCCTAAATGCTGAGCCCTACCCGTGCGTTGAGCTCTGCCAGGATAAGGCTGAAGCTTCACCCTCGGAGACGTCCAGCACCTCAGAGGCTTCCGGGGAGGCAAACTTTAGAGTTGAGTGGACTGGACATGAAGTATTCGTTTTTCGGATGGTACTGAAACCCAAACAGGAATGCAAGACTACTCCCAACACGGAATCGGTGGAAGGGCGTGTATTTTGTGGGGAGGGGATTGATGCCTGGCTGGGGGTTATGAAGTTTGGGGATTCGTTTTTTGGACTTGTTTAGACGGTAACAGCTGTTCTGGCTTTGTTACCAGTTTGCTCAACTTCCGCTGATCCTTCTTGGCTGGATGGTCCGGGGTTTAGGGTTTATAGGATTGCAGGGGCTGACACCATGGTTAGAGTCAGAGTCTTTGTTGCTGGATACTTTTGCAAAATGAGCATTAAGCAACCCTTCTACAATGCTTGTAAACTGCTTGCTGACTGCTTGACCACGTATACTCATGCATAGCTGCAGAAGCCATGGTAGCCAAGAGCCGCAACCCGCAAGGTGGTTGCAAAAGCCGTACCTGCCATATATGTTCTCCATGTACTGCAATACTGCCCATGACGGCCACTTTGTTGGGTAACTCTACGCAAGACTGCTTTGAGCATGCTCTTCATGTGCGGATGCCCCAGGAAAAGAGACTACTTTGACGAGCGCACATGAGTAGTGTCGCTAAGGACGGTACTATAGTACCCAACGTGGAGTAATGATATACCCTCCTTCTGTGCATTGTATCTTTAAAGAAGCACAGCATGTCCCCTGGTTCAACCACCCAATGAAAGCGCATCAATGCGGCAGGGTATCGGCAAGCCTAAACCCTACACCCATTAACGCAAAGACCGAAGGGTGCGTCAAGCACTGCCAGGAGAAGGCTGAAGAGTCACCCTCAGAGGTGCCAAGCACCACAGAGGCTTGCAGGGAGGCAAACTTGATGAGTACCCATGAAGCACAAACAAATGCTTGGTTCAGCCGCCCAACAAACATTCCTGAAACCACTGGTTCCTTCAGTGGCTGTAGCAGCCTACCCGGTTGCTATCGACTTATCGGTTCGGCTTCGAAAACATTGCTTATGTGTGCGGCAGGAGTTGGATGAGGTGCCCTTTGCAGTTGCCAACCCCATGACAGCCAAGGAGGAGGAGCCTCTCCTCAGGGCTCCTGAAGTAACGTGGAGGTTTCCCCAAACTTAGGGGTACCTTTAAAGGGGTTGTAGGGGACATGTAGGGAATACATAGGGATACCTTTTTGGGGGTCCCGATAATAAGGCTCATAGTATATTGGGGTTCCCCTATTTTGGGAAACTACCAGGTGGAGGTTCCAAAGATCAGGGTACCTTTTCGAGTAATACTTACATGCACACCCCTGACTTCAGGTTCGCCGGTCGGGTTTCAAGTGGGATGACAAGTGGGATACCAGCGGAAGCTACTTTGACAATTTCCCTGATGCGGCTAGCATGACATAGGGAAGGACGTAGGGAAGGGGAAGATAGGGAGAGTTGAGTATTTGGCTTGTCATGAGCGGAGAGTGGGGCAGGGGACGTCTTCACAGATGAAGCTGAGTTGGTGCAGGAAGCTTCTCCGGGCGAAGAGCTCTCGGACACAGAGGCCCGACGCCTATATGGGGATGTCCCAAAATCAGGGGTGCCTTTCTGGGGGTCCCCATAATAAGGACTATAGTATTTGGGGTCTACATAGGGTCCCCTCATTTCGGGAAACTACCATATAGGAGGCCACAATAGCCCCTACACTTGCAAATGCCGACTTTAAGTTCTGGGCCAATCGCAGCAACCTCACCCCACCCCACCCCAAACCATGGTTTGCCAAGAAATCAGTCCCAAATTGGCTTACTGCTGTTTCTGATTTCTTAAAATGAAAGTGATAATAGTAATAATAGTAATAATAATAATAACAAACAAGGCCAGTAAGCTGAGTTGCAGGCATTTCTGGTCGAGAATGTTGGCCTCACAAAGAAGCAGATGCGGAAGGCAGCCTGCTGTGGTGCAGCCTGCGGTGAACTCAATAGGCACCAGTCAGTACCTCATAAACTGGGTTGTTGTTAAAGAACTTAAATAAAGTTACCACAATGGGTCTATATAGTAATTAATATGGTTCCCCCAATATAGTAACTTAAATTAAGTTCCTTAACAGCAACCCAGCAAATGCCCAGAGGAGCCAATGACTGGAACATCCTCCCACATGAGACTGCTCATGATACGGAGAGCGAGAGGTTAACTTGGGCATATTCTAGTTCAGTCAATGTTGCAGCACCCGAAAGGAAAGCTGACCTCAAAAGGAAACAAAGCACAAGAATCCTGAGACGCTCGGACTGGAAGGCCAACACGTTAAAGAGAGAGAGAGAGAGAGAGAGAGAGAGGAAGAACAACTTGCCTGCTACATATGGCTGCTAATCGGGGCCCGGCTTGGTGTTGCGCGATACCTGACCTGTGTGGGGCATTGCCCCAGCCCCCTCCGCTGGGGGGGTAGCACAGTGAGAAGAAGAAGAAGAAGAAGCAAGAAGTTGTGAGAAGAATAGGGAGAGCAAGAAGCGTTTTTTCAGCATCACCCAGCTACCTTGGCACAGTTTTCGGCTCCAGGGCGCCCATGCCGAAGGATGCACAGTAATGGCCAGTGAGCCATTGGACGTCCCCTGGAGTCCAGCAGCTTGGGATGGACCTTGGAAGGTGCTGCTTGTGGCCAACAGCCGCTATGCACCCTCATTAGGATGCTTGGACGGTCCCAGGCAGGACCTGGAGGTGGTGGCTGCAGGGCTACAGCGGCTTTGCAACTTGGATGGACCACCCAAGGTATTGCATGATGCAACCTGTAGGCAGATGATGGAGGAGTTCAATAAGTTGTGGAAACCAACTGCAGGCACTGCTGGCACTGCTTCTCCTCCATTGTGCTTCGTCTTCTTTGCAGGCCATGGATTTCATACCTCCCAAGGGACGTTCTTGGCCCCTGTGGATGCAGATCCCACATCTTTGAGGACGATGATTTCTGTCGAGGCATTAAGGCAACAATTCAGCCGCAAGTCGGGTGGCATGTTAGTACTTGTGACAGCTTGCTGTAGAGAAGGCATCGCGGTGGGTGCGTTGCAGCAACAGCTGTTGACGTTCGTGACGTCTTGTTGCAGAGAAAGGTCTTTATTCAGCAGGTACAAAAACAGGGCTCTTGCAGCTGAAGCAACACCCTGCATCAGCCGGATAGAGCGCCAACCTAGCTCTTTAGGAGAAGTCATCTTGTATTCCTGCAGGCCAGGAAGCAAAGTCTATGATAGCGGGCGTCCGCAGAAGATTCATTTTAACAAGCCCATGGAGAGCTGCAGCACATTGGCCTCATCGTTTTTCCAAGCCTTGCTGCTGTCCAGCTACTTGCGGCTGCCGCTGCTAGGAACTCTTGAGCTAGTCCGGGAGATGTGCATTGCGAATTCGCCAGCAATGACGGATGAAGGCTTCCCTGAGCTTCTGAATGGCTTGAATCGTCAAGGGCTCGCAAATCACGTTTTCCTGGTGTCCCCCTGCACTCTCTTCAGGGGCGTACGCAAAAGCAATGACACTGGCTACATTCCTCCATACATCTTTGAGTCGACGCCCACCGTAGATTTCCCGTCATTCTGGCAAGCAGCACATCAAAAGAACTTGGTCTGCCCAAAAGCAGCTGAGTTGCTGAGCGAGGCTTTTGGCTTGTATGAAGTCAATAACTTGAACAGCCTCACAGGCAGCATGACGAGAAAACTTGAAAGTAGCTCGTCCCCTTACTTAGAAGTCTTGGCATTGGGATGGTTCCTGCCATATACAAAAAACGTAGATGCCAGGGAAGAGGGTCTGCGCCGACTTCTGCAGCTTCTGGAGCATAATGAGTTTGACTCCTACCCCATGGCCAGCGGTCTTTGCGTAACTGCGCTATGTATTTTGAAACAAAGTCACCAAAACAAAGTCACAGATGCTTTCCACTTGCTGATGAGAGCTAGCGAGTTATATCGACAGTCTAATCTTCCGAGGCAAAGCTGTTTCAACCAGTTGTCTGCCTGGGGTAGCTTGCTGTCTTGGAGACAGGAGACAGGCATACAACAGAGCGATGCCAAACAAGCTTTGAAGAGCTTGCAAGAGTTGAGGCCAAAATGTGCAATCCCAGGCCAGGTCGTTCAATGTGATCTACTGCGCTTAGTTGCACACAACGCTGCAGGCCTCAAATCTGCAAAGCTCAAAAGCGATGTCCTGGCTTCATTCCAGAGTTTGCGAAGCACCGACACCCATGCAGCTGAGCGTCTGAAAGAGAGACTGCGTCATTTTCCTGTGTGCCGTTCGATCCTTGAAGTCCAGGATCGCACCGTGCTACAAACCTAGCGGGGTAATCGGGTGCGATGCCAAAACGCCGCTGCGTCAGTGTCACTTGAAGTGCCAATGTAGTGGGAGCACTCGTTTGTCGACAACTACCCAAAAGTTTTAAAAGGTTATCCTTCCATCTCCAGCACCCCAGACCCTGCCATCTTGCCTGGCAGATCCGCACATTTTGGTCCTACAGCGGTGACCGGCAGCCACCACTGGCCAGGCTGACATCCTTTGAGCCTGGCACTGGGGGCTTCTCAACAGGGATCATCCCGGGGATGTGCAGGGATCACAGGGAGATAAAAGGGTCCCTCTTCAGGATCATGTAGGGATTCCGTGGAGAAGTTAGGTTGTAGGTGTTGGGGGGGCCTGAATGGTTGAAGCAGTGGAGTGTTTAATTGAAACAAAACATGGAAACGTGCAATCCAAGCTCACGTAGGGTGTCTCAGCTGACATTGTGAGCATGGGCTGAACGAATGCCTCGCTCCAGCAGAAGAGCTCAGCAAGTCCGAAGTATTACATCTGATTGGTACTCTACCTGAACACGGGTGACTCTAATATCGACCCCAAAATATTGTGATCCTCGTTACAGAGACCCCATTAAAAAGGGGCCCCGACTTGTGAGAAACTCTCACTTGAGGCATGGCATGAGGGGTTTAAACTCAGCAACGGAGGAAAAGAAAAGGACTTGTACAAAGAATGCAAGAAGAAAAGTCCAGGTTGAGGTGGTTCCGGGTTTAGGAGGAAGCCATTGCAGAAGCAAGTTTGGCCATGAGCAGGTGCCAGATGGTTGCCGACTACTTGCAGAATGACGTAGGCTTCAATGAGGATCAGCTGCGAAGGAACGGCGCTTCCTACAGTGTCTCTCAGGTGAGGCCAAAGCTAAAAGGCAGTACAATCATCTTGTCGATGTTCTTAGCACATCTGTTACTTGCAAAGTTATGTCACCTGCAATTCTTGGTAACATTGTCATTTACGGATTAGCAGCTGCCGCTGGAGGACGATGTTATCAAAGCTCCTTGCAAGCAAAAACTGGAAGTTGAGCTGTACACGGTTCTCGTCCTAGCCCGCTCCTTTCCCTTCAAAGATCCCGTGAAAAAGGCTGAGGTGAAGGGAGCCATAGGGAGCCCAAAGGCTGTGAGGGTGACAATATGTTACAAGTGCATGACAGGTTAGATGGGCGTTTCCCAAAATTAGGGGTACCCTTTTGGGGATACCCATAATAAAGACTATAGTATTTTGAGGTCTATATTGGGGTCCCCCTATTTTGGGAAACTACCAGATGGTTCCCGAGCAATAGATGCATCCGTTACACGTGTCGCTGAGCCCCCATAAGTCTTGTCTGCGCCATCTCCAGAGAAGACATGTCCAACGTTCCTGTGTGATCCAATCGTACTTGCAAGGCGTTGAGACACGTGAGCACCGTAAATTCTAGTTGGGCCACTCAAGATTCTGGTGGTGTTTGCCAGGAATGTATCATCGAACCTTACTAGTACCACTACTTATTACTATTGCAACTACAATCACTCTTACTAAGACTAATTGCTATCACTAAGGGTTATTACTATCACTCTTAGAAACAGCATCATCTCGTGCCCAGCTTCAGCTGCACTTGCAGGACTCTTGCTGATTGTCCAGAAGCTCTTGAAGTGTTCTCTGTCGAGACACTGAAGGAGAAGGCCTGCTGCATGCTTCGTCTTACTGGTGGTTAGTAGGGAAAAAGGGGCCTAGAGTCATATAGTCACTATATCATCTCTATACGAGACACTCCCTAATTCCCTGCTCACCACCAGTAAGTCGTTCTGCATTGTATCTGGCTGCCTTGACTTGCACCTGAGTAATAGTCCCTGCACGAAGCCAGCGGAGACCCAAACCGCAATGCAGTAATTCAAGGACCTACATTGGGGTTTCCCAAAGTTGGGAGTACCATTTTGGGGGTCCCCATGGTAAGGACTATAGTATGTTGGGATCTATATTAGGGTCCCCCCCTTTCTTTGGAAACTACTACATTTCAGAAACTTTGCAAAACATGAAGGTCTTTACAAAAACCGATACCACGAACGTACCCATGTCCCAGCCACGCTTCGCAGGTGCGATTCCTCGAGGTTGAGGTAGGCGTGGAGGAGCCGGACCTCGCAGAAGTGGTGGCCGCCTATCCTCAGGCTTGGACATGTTTGCTTGGCCCTAGGGATCCTAATATTAAGGCCCTTAAATAAGGAATATAATGGGGATCCTAATATTAAGGCCCTTAAATAAGGAATATAATGGGGATCCTAATATTAAGGCCCTTAAGTAGGGATTATAATAGGGATCCGAGTACGCTAGTTATAGAGAATCAAATGGCAAAGACATGGAACATGAAATGGAAACTAGGGTTGTGTAGAGCTTGAGGGATCCAAGTATGCAAGTGATACCTACATTGGGCCCTAACGTCTATACATATGACCTACACTGGGCTATGTGGATTTCTAGGGTAGGTATTAAGGTGAATGGAGAATTTTGGCGCCACCCTCTGTACTCCCCCACAACTCTCCCCGTTCATGAAAACTGCAGTGGTTTGGCTCTGCCAAGTTGTGTAAGATTTCCTCTGCCGTTGTGTCAGATTTGGGTCTCCATCTTCATAACCATTCCGTCTACAGGTATTCCCCCAGCGCTGTCTCTTTCTTACATTTCAGTTGCTCGTATTCTCTAGCAAGAGCGGCGCACACGGATAATAATACCGGAATGTTTTCTACATAGGGTGCTTCACAACAAGGTTGCAGCAGTCATGGCATACCCAATGGTCCCTGGTAGTTGACTGCGAGCCGCGGTATTCTTTCGAAGCATATATGCTTGTGTGTATATATATACAGATGTGTATATATATATATACATACAATTGTAGCGACGAGGCAAAAGCAGGAACCCCTTCTCATCCACATCATTTGGCACCAGATCGTAGGATCATAAGAAAGGATATCCCCCCCATTTCATCCCTCACCTACAACTCGACACCCTTAACCGTAGACTCTAAACACTTTGTAATTTGAGAATTCCCCCCTTCACCTATATTACTCTACACCTTAAATCCTACACCCAAAACCCTTAGCTCTACATCTCCTACATACTTCTTCGAGGTGTTGGAACACTTCCTTAATTGGAGATCCTAGCCAAGAACAGAACCTATTTTGGGGGACTCGGACAACTACCACATGATGGATTCCATGTCTTGCTGGTTGTTATTGGGAGTAGGGTTTAGGGCTTAGGGAATGGAGGACTGGATTCCTACAGTAGGCCCAATGTAGGAGCAACCGTCAAGATTTCGCTTTTGCAGTTCGGGAGGGGGCTTGGGGACCCTTGTGGAGAAGTTTGCGGGGGAAGAGGGGGATGTCGTGTTGCTCCTCGCGTAAGAGCTGGGCTGTGATCTTCGGGTGGGTCAAAAATTCGATACCCCGCAGCGTTGATCTTGGCGGCAAGGGCTGGCGCAATTTGCTGGACCATCGGCCAGAAAATGTATGCTGCTCTTGGAAAGGAGTCTGACACCAAAAAACATTGTTGCCACCCCTCCGCCCCAGGCATCGGCAAGAACATCCTTTCAAAAAATTACCTTCGGTAGTCGGCGCTCCGAAAGTTGCGAACTACCGACCTACATGTGAGGGACTACGTGTTAGACGGGTCTTGCGGAGGAGCGGAGGTCCTGAAAGACTCATTTCCATCGGCCAGGCTAGCGGAGTAATTTATCGACGTTTTAAGGGTATGAAACTTTTCAGTTCCGGAGGAGGCCTGGGGACCCTTGTGCAGGAGCCTACGTGGGAAGAGGGGTATGTCGTGTTGCTCCTCGCGTGAGAGCTGGGCTGTGATCTTCGGGTGGGTCAACCTTAGGGCGCCCCGCAGTATTAAGGCGCCCTGAACTGTAGACAGATGGTACAGCCCGGAATATAGTCCCTAATTGGGAACCCATGTCCATTAAATTATGTAGGAAATATTGACTGTAGCTCATGCAATTTCCCTGAACATGGCGGTCCCATCTGATTTTCACGTCCTGCATTCCTGGAAACCAGCAAATCTTATCGGTTAGGCCCTCAGGTACAGATGGGGACCACAAAGGATGACGGCAGCTGTATCAAGCTCCCTCTGTGCTCGCATTACTGCCATTTTGGATTTGGGGCTGGCCGAATCCTCTGTATTGTCGGGTCCTTGTGCTACGGATCAAAGTACTTCAAGTGTTCGGGCATACTTATCAGTGGACTTCAAAATAATGTGAAAGAGTTAGCTCTCGACGTTAGGCATGTTCAAGCTGGTACGGTAAGAGCTGCCAGCTCAGCAAAATCGCACACACCAAGACAGTATGATTGCCGGATGGCTTACATGACCATCAACAAGACCGGCTAGGTACATCTACGTCAGCCAGGTGCTCAAAATCTGTTTTGCCAAACAGCACGTCATACTGGCATGTCGAATGGGCGACTTCTATCGCCATCAGCAAAACAAACCAGAATGCTAGCAGATGAATGCGATCGAACAATCACCATTACAGCTATCATTACTTGGGTACTGCTGCCCCCATTCATTCACAGTTGGATAGTATTTATGTTATACTTATGTATAGCCCTTATTATGACCCTATTGTGGACTATTAATTGGTGGGGGTCATTACCATCATCCTCAGAACTCTTGCTTCCTGCCATTTAACCTTTGCTTACGCCCACTTAGTTGGGGATGGGGTCATGGATCCGCTAATGGTCCCTACGTAACCTCGCGTAGGAGCTATAGTCTGAACTTCTTAAGGGGGCTTGTACAGGGGGTCATGTACGAGAGTACTATAGGGGTTATTAAGGGGGATACTCGGACTTTAGACTACAGCTCATATAATGGTCTCCGTAACCCATCCACAAACTCCTAACTCGGCCACCCTGGGAGCTGAGTAGGGGTGTAATGGAAAAGAACATGGATTCTACTATAGTATAATATGGTATATATTGGGTTATACAAGGGGAGAAGGGGAATATTATGTATAAGTATGTCTATAAGCTCAGCCTTAGGGATCCAAATAGCCCATGTGGGCAGTGTCTACAGACTTTAGGGCCCATGTAGGTATTTTTTGTACACTTGGAGCCCTAGGGCAGTTAGAAGGTCCCATGAAACAAAACACCCTAAACCCGAACCCTAAGCCTATACCCAAAACCCTAAATTAAAAACCCGACATCCTAAACCCTAAGCCCTAAACCTCTAAACCCGGTAGGCACTTGATGTGGACTGTGCAGCAGGTTTTGTCACGGCCGATCGTGACCACTCTAAGACCGGCCTTAGAGCCTGGACCTCAGAAATTGTGGGGGTTATATTGGGAAATAAAATGGAAACTACCATAATAGGGTGATAGAAGGTTTAGGGTTTCAGGGTTTTCGGGATTTTGGTTTAGGGTTTTGGGGTTTATAGGGTTTGGGGTTCAGGGTTTAGGGTTTGGTGCTCAGAGTTTGGGGTTCGGAGCTCAGCCAGGCGCTGGTGGCTGAATGACAGTTATGCTTCTGCTCTTCTAGCGGTATTATATGTTCTGCGGTTTAGGGTTTAGGGTTTAGGGTTTAGGGTTTCCCTATGTAAAGTCAAAGTAGGGAGGACTAAGAGTGGGTGTCAGTGGTATTTCGCATTTGCTATCAACAGGCCTTGGAAGTTCCCTGATTACTTGGAGGGTCATGAGGGCTTAGTAAGTACATTAATAACCCGTACAAGTCATATAATGAACCCAGTTATCCCCATTGTTAAGCCTACTTACTAAGTCCCCATGACCCTAAACCCTAAGACCTAAAGTTTCCCTAAATAAGGGTCCCCCAAGATAGACCCCCAAATACTAAACTCCTGATTGTAGGGACCCCCAAATCAGGCACCCCTAATTTGGGGAAACCCTAAACTCGAGACATCCCTATATATGCCCTATATATCCCCCATGTAAAGCCCCTATAAGCCCCTTTAAAGGGAACCTCGGATTTAGGGAACCCCCACATTGAGGAACCCGGGGAGGGCATTGGGAGGCTTCAGTCGCGGGATCCTCTCAGGGGCCTGGGTAGAGGATCAACATGAGCTACTGTCTCAACTCCTAGGGTTTAGGGTTTAGGGTTTAGGAACTCCTCAAAGGGGATTATATAGGAGACTACATAGAGAAGTACTATAGGGACTATCAAGGGGAATACTAGGAGTTTAGATTATAGCTCACATGTCTACGTAGCTTTGGGCAGATTTGCGCATGCTACGGTGGATACAAGACATCCTGCATGAGTAATGACCTTAAATCATGAAATCTATGGTACTATAGTCTTCTAAGGTCATGCGGGAATTTCTTTTGTTTCAACAGTAGGACTCCTTACTCAGGGGCATTGTGATAAAAGCTCTAAGTTTGAATCCTGTCCAAAGTTGTTAGACCCATCTGTCCACGTGGGTTGGTTGCGCCGTTGAGGGCGCCCGTCAAGTTTGCCTGGCTGGTGCATGCTGCGCAGGTCTGCTAAGTCAAGCATACTTGGAGGATCTCTTGACTTAGCAACACCACTTCCTAACAGGAGGGGGATAGTAGGCAGACTTACTAAGTCAAAATCATCTCAGAGTATTCTCCCTGGTTCAAGGGAAGGTTGTACGTGTTGCCTTGCAAAGAGCACACTCAGCATGCTGCATCACCATGTTGGCTGTCCCCTCTTTCATCCATCTGTACATGCCCCTACATGTAGGCTCGACGTACCTAATGGAATGAATTTGCAAGGCAGGCACATAAACACTTTCCTATAGAAATAGTACCTGATGCAGAAGCCAAAACAGATTGATTCCTTCAATCCTCGCGACATCGCAGGCCACCCTAACCCATCGACCCCCTCCCAGAACCGCTCCGCAAAACCTTTTACATGCACCTTTGGTCCCTAAAGGCTCCCCCTATTTGGAGAAGCCCTCCTCATCCCACTTTCTCAGATTCGGTCTGTGAAGACCTGAGGTTCCTTACTGGGGCTTACTAGGGAAAAGGGAGACAGATTATATGAAGTCTAGACTCTTTGAGGCGGGTAATATAGGGGATCATGTGGAGGAGCATTTTAGGGCTTATTAAGGGGGATACTAGGAGTTTAGATCATATCGGGATTACATTCCTTTATTCCCTACTAAGAACCAGTAAGTCAGGTTCTGGATGGGCACAGCGAACGTGGATCCG